TTCGGACCTCGGACTCGACGTTTCGAGAAGAGCCGTTTGTAGCTAAATCACTCGGACACGGTCCTCCTGCCCTCTCGTTGCACTTAACGCGACCCTGCTTTTTCTCTTTCGCCTGCCCCGGTTTCTCTCGCCTATCGTCACAATTTCGTCGGACCTCAGCAAAACGACTTAATGTATTATGAAAAGTACACGGAACCGATCTCCAGCCGCTCCGAGCAGAGAGTGTGAAGGCCCACACAAGAAGACCGAACCCGCGTTCGCACGCACGATGCTTCACGTCGACGGGGCTTATAACCATAATTATAGAAAGAGCGTCAAAATGAAAATTCCTTCTTTGACCATTGACTCGGATCATTGACTCTTGATCCTTCGAATTCTGACATCGAGTTTATAAAAATAAACTCGAAACGGATGTAAGAGTTATATAAAAAGCAAGGATCAGCGTGTATGACATACCTAAGTCGATTGCATTGATTCACCTTCCGTATTAATTAAAAAGAATCGCCAAATACTCGCAGAAATAATAGATACTTTTCACTCCAACAAACAACAAGTGTATCAACAATTGAAATTATATTTTGTATTTTACTTCGGTTATTTTTTTAAGTATCTAAGTCGCATCGAATACTCTAAATCACTTACATTAGCAATGGTTTAAAAGTAATGTGGAGATAAGAGATTATCTTTATCTAAGAAAACTCTCGTCGTTAATTGAACGAACTCGTTAAACCCGTTTGATTTGTGTCCCCGGACTAGCCGTTCAAGCAGGACACGCATGTCCTTGCTGAGACCTCCCGAGCACTATCTATTGAGTTATCTAAATAGCGATTCGGGCCTGACACGTGGGAGTAGCGCAGGACCCCGCGTACCATCTGTCACTACGTCGCTACGTCAAGGCTGCTACGGCGGGAAGCGAAGGAGCGGAGATCGCCGTGCACGTTCCTCGGGGTTCTTCCCTGCCTTCTACTTCAGATTCTCCACTGTCTCTGGGAGGAGAGACGTACAACTCCCTGCGGAGGATTTATTACGCGCTCCCTCCGTCCCTTTCGCCGTCGAGAAACAGCGACGGTCTCGCGGCACGGTAGCTATCTGCATTATAAAACAGTTGCTGCCAATACCCGTATATAGCGAAAGCACCCAACCGCTCCTCCCACCGCGGAACCATATAAAGGACCTTCTTGTTTGGTCTCGTTCCACCGAGCGACGTACGCTTCTCGACGTCGAGGTTAGCGTCCTCGGCGTCGGGACGCGATATCGAGCTCGATGCACGTCGAAAACTGGTGGTCCATCCTAATTTTCATTCCCGACTTCCCCTATCAGCCTGGCGTATCTTGAAGAAATGCTCCAAAGACGATTTCTTTTACAGAAGCGTAACTCTTTAACGTCGTCGAGTTTTGTGCGGTTCGACGAAGAGCGACGTAATCAGCTGCCAGCTGTCCGATTGCCTTTTACATTGAACGACGATTAAACGGATCCGTTCTGTCGGGTGATCTACTAACAGAGTTGACAACGGCCGAAAAGATCTTCCGCATTGACATTCGTGACTTGTACCGTGCCATTGTAAAGTGGAAAGAAATAGAGTTTTACTTTTAAATACCGATCGTTGCTAAAGTCTGATGTCTATTACGATCTTTTGATAAGCTCCTTATGAATGAAAGAATAAGTAATCAAAAACTCAAAATCATATTACATTCTTCATGTATTTATTTTACGCGCATTCTTAATTTATTAATACTTCATATTTAATTTATATTGAAAAGATATTCAACTAAGTTCTCAAACAGAAGAAATCTGATGTCTAAAATGCCGATAAATAGATATTTTCAAATCTTTAATATCTTAGTTTCTCACTCATCAGTTTTCACTGTTTTTAATTTTGTAATTTCTCATAAGTAATTAAACATTAATTGCATCTTTCAAGAAAGAAAAGGATAATGTGGGCATCGAAAGGAGAAAAGAACTGTTCCAATCTTGTATTCCAGACTCAAAGACAATTGTGTGTCGTATTGTTTGTAAGTTGACAGCCACCACTGCAGCTTCACAAGCGCCTGTTTGTCAATCCAGACTTGAACGACGTCTTTGAGATTCTGAAAGACCTCGAAGAGCCCGAAGAAGAAATGTATTTGACATCACATTAGTTATTCGCAGTGGACCAAGCTCTTTGAGATACTGCTATCCAACTTCCATTCCGTATTCGTTCATTCCGTATTCGTTGTAACTTTCAATCTCTTTAAGTACACGAGAGTAATTGAGTACTGTGTCACAATTTGACTGCCTTATTATTCTGTCGTATATTTTATATTTTGTCTACTCGCAATCAAACCAAAAATAATATTTATTTTTAATAATAAATTTCGCCATAAGTTGTCGTAATATTTCGTTTCTTTCTAGCACGTACCGAGTGATTAAAAAATTCGAAAAATTATACGACAATAAAATATGTTATTATCAAATATTATATATAGAAGTTCTAATAAAATTTTGAAAATAAAAAACTTACAAAATCTTTCAGCCACTGCTACTTTTAAATGCTACTCAAGTTAAAGGACATCTCGCGGACGGCCCGACGGTGCGCGATTTTTGCGTGGAATCGAGCGAGAAATCGCGATTTGTCCGCAAGCATCCCTCGCGGAGACAGAGTTTGGCATCGCGTCGTTTCAGGCACCCCGTCGCGAGATCGTTTATACATGCGGACAGTGGATGCCCGCCGGCCGCCGCGGTTGATGGCCGCGCTTTGTTTTGACGGACGGCTGAATAATCTACCTCTGAACCGCGCCTGATGGCTGTCTGTCTGTCGGCCGGTTGTCCCGTTCCGTCCCGAACTTGCTACCGAAGTGCCTTCTACGGAAGCCCGGCTCCTCCGGTGTTCCGCTGTTTCATGATCTCTAACCGCGCGCGGAGAGGAGCGATATCGCGGCCTCGCGTACATTATCCACGTCGTGCTCGTCGGTGTCGCCGACGACGAGCGGCAATTTGCTAACGGAGACAACTGCGGGACGTCTTCACGATTGCCTCGATGCATCGTCTTTCGAACAGCTACTACTTGTCGCTACCTAACAATCCTAATTCTGTTATAACCCCATATTTTCTTCGCCGCATTAGAAGAGCGACGCAGCGTGTAAATTGAATAAGCTCGTGCGATACTCTCTATGCTACCATAAAGTTTAATCCATGAACAAGCCTAGATTTACAATTGTTTAGAACTGGAATAGCGATATTTGAAGAAACGCAAGAATTTTGTGGCAACAATATTAATCTAAACGGATAAACCATGGAAGGGCAGATTCGCTATTTGAGATATTCATATCAAAGTGGGAATGCAATGAGAAATCGATTATCGATTGCAATCTATTACAGGTTACAAGGAAACGGCGTTCGCGTACGCGATTTCGGCAGCTGGCGTGGCGCACAACGTGGCTCGTGCCTGCAGCATGGGTCGCCTGCTTTCCTGCGGCTGCGATCCTTCGAGCTACACGGCTAAAACGCCGGCCAGCGCCAGAGGCGTCCAATGGAAGTGGGGTGGGTGCTCTCACAATCTCGACTACGGCATGGAGTTCTCGAGACAGTTCCTAGACACACAGGAGAAAGCCGACGACATACAGTCTACGGTGATTCTACACAATAATCAAGCCGGTCGTCTGGTAAGCACTGCTTTCGCAACTTTGTTATTAAACTCCGGATGTGGGCATGTTCGCTTAACGAGAAAATAGAGAAAGAAGAGATATTAGATGTCCCACATTACGCTTGTTCCTCCTACATAGATTTTCTCATTTCGATGTTGCGTATTTTTAAATATTTCAGGAGGAAAGAGAAAGAGCAATGAAAAAATATTATGCAAATAAAAATATAGATTTTTAGGTTTCACGAACATTATATATTATATAAATTAACTTTTTTTTATATAATCTTCAGATTCGTGAAAATATGTAATTTAAGATGAAGCTTCGTGTATGCATAGTAATAATATAAGATTGTTGCAATTCAAACTCACAGCTAGTTCACATATCTGCGAGTTTGAAATGCAATCGATGTATCTTTCAATCCAGCTTGCGCGCTTAGAGGAAAAAAAAGAATCCTAATAACAATCTCATAATTTTCGCGAATAATTTCTCTGCTAGCTATATTCTGTTTAATATGTTATTCGTTTTATAGATGTGGGCTGTATATGCACAGATATTATACAATCCTGTCGACGGAGAAAGCCGAGTTGCATTTTAACGCAGTAAGACTACCATTTTTTTTTTTTATTTTTTTTATAGCGGCCCTCCGTGTACACACAGTATCCCACGATAAATAATTCGCCATCTTAAAGCAGACGCGCGCAAGAAATGTACCGTTAAACGGTCGGCAGGGAATCCCGGGTGGAAGCGAATTCGCAATCGCGTGCCGAGTCCGCCCGCGAATAATGTAGCGCGCACGCCGCCGTGCGTGGGTCCGTGAGAGAGCTTCGAGTTATCCCGCGCGCGATTCTCCTCTCTCCTCGTCCTTTCTCCACCGTTCTACCTTTCCGTCGGCTGTTACTTTTTAGCGGTGCGCGCTGTTCCTCGATAAAGGAGAGAAGAGGAAGCGGGAGAGAAAGAGGAACGAAGTAAGGCGGATCGAAAAAAGGGGAAGAGCGACAGAGATGAGAGACTGAGTCTTCTCCTCTCCTCCATGGACCTCTCCACGCTCGCTCTCTCGCCTCGACGTTATTAAGACGAAGCCCCGGGCTGGACCACCCAGCCGTAGACTCATTAACTGTTTTGTACGCGACACCTCTTTGTTTAAAAGAAACTGGGCCCTCCTCCCCTCTTCCCTCTCCTCATCCCTTGCCATCCTCGACCACCCTGCGCACCCTGCGCATCCGAGCGACTCGTACCTGTTTGTACAGCGTGTTAGAACCGGCGTTTTTCAGCCGACGTCAGCAACACAGCGGCACCGCGGATATCGCAATCTGAGAGAAGGATTCGATTCCGCCCGCCTTGTCCGTCGGATCGAAGACCCCGACGAAAAAGAGACCCGACCGTGGCGGGCGTAAATGAAAAAGTCGATCAACCGTTTTATACAAAGTCAACTGACGCGGAAACGACTTCTTAGCGCGACACTGTCATTCGGTATCGTCAAGGTGTTCTGAGCTGCTCGCATTCTCTTTTATCCACGGATCTTTTAGCCAATTTAAAATTTATTTGAATTTTTTTTTACAGAAATGTATAATTTTTGAATTATAGAGAAACTGAAAAAATGCAAAAGATTTTTAAAAAATCTATTATAAAAAATATTAAAATTGTTATCTTTTCAGCGTATTGTCTATAAATCTTAAAATAACAGCAGTAAATAATGATTGAATATCTTTCGTAGGTATTTAAACTACTGAGAGAACTTGTGTGAAGTTTGCATAATAAAGATCTAAAAGATATATATTTTCTATAATTAATATTTCACTAATGCTATCTGTTTTATTTGCATCCGGCGCGAAGTAAAGCGCAGATTTATCGATCACGAATATCCATATTTTCAATCTCGACATCATATTATCTTACAATTGCAGGCGGTGGCGAATAACATGCAAGTGCGCTGCAAGTGCCACGGCATGTCAGGCTCGTGCGAACTGAAGACCTGCTGGAAGGTCACACCGGACTTCCGGGTAGTCGGCAAGACGCTGAAGGACCGCTTCAGATCCGCTGTGCTGGTAACGCAGAGCAATCTGGGCAACGTGATGCCGGTGAAGAAAAAACCGCGTCGCAACCAAAGGAGGAAGCAAAGGAAGAATCGCGAAAACGGCATTTCCGGTTATAAGAGGAAACCCCGGGACCAGGCCAAGCAGCTCTTCTACTATCAGAAATCGCCGAACTTCTGCGAGCGGGATACAACGATCGACATTGCCGGCACCGCCGGGCGCAGATGCAACAAGACCGGCACCGGCGGCGATGGATGCGCTAATTTGTGCTGCGGCAGGGGTTACAACGTGGTACGGCAGCGACGAACGGAACTGTGCAAGTGCAAGTTTCACTGGTGCTGCTTCGTGAACTGTCAGAATTGCACGGTGGAGGAGTGGATCACCGTGTGCAAGTGAAACGGAACGAGGAATCAGACGGCGAAAATACGGAAATCCAAGACTGACAGAAGCCAATACTTTTGGATGTTTCCTTTCCTTCCGCGATCAAGTCGATCGACGCATCGATGATTTATAGCGCGGTAAATTATTTCGACATTTTTCGGCGAGCATGCGATTCTCCGGAAAAAAATGCGCAGCGAGGCTATTCGTTCGCAAGGGTGAATTAAAGGAAGCAAGTCGGTAGGATTAATAAGACGGTTCTTATTGGAATCGGGATTACCCGGCACAAATTTCTCCTGGGTGATCACGACGTCAGAAAGCGGCTTTCTCTGCGAACGTAGCGGGAACGTAATAGTCTTCGTTAGTGAAATTAAATCCGATTTCTACGAGAAGCGAGGAAGCTCTGAATGCGATAATGATTCCATTTTTCTGACACGTTATTGAAAATTAGAATGCGATTTTTATCATGAAGCATTGAAACTCTTCGAAAATTGAATTTAATTCTTCATCGCGAAAGTAAAATAGCACGGTATTTATGTGTTATCGAAGAGTTACTTACTCAATTTTTGCGATTCTTGGTGTGCCAGAAAACACCGTGATCTCACTGACATGAATCGTGTATTCTACTTGCGAGCGGCTGAATTGAGCGTATTGGAAAGACGTGAATCAATCGCGGAGATCGAATCGAATTAGAAGAGGATTTTCGAAAATCACTCCGTAATGACACGAATCATATAGAATAATTCGTAGATTAAGCAAACCTATAATTTATTTATAACAACGCTCTATTTAATTAATATTTAATTTTAACTTTTACATGAACTGTAACACCTCCAGCACAGTATTATTAGACGTGTGTCCTGTTCGACGATGGACATGATTGTACACAACTTAATAATGCGCGTACAATAAAGAGAGTTCCTTGAAAACAATACCTATCATTCATTTTCACTTATTTTCAGATATTTTATCAATTTTGTTATATCGATTAACACTCTATTTTATTTGCCTTTTCAGAAACATTTCCAGAACTGTTTTCTAAGCGTCTCGCTCGAATTAGTAAAATATGTGCGACCTTCTTTTTTATCGATCACAGTCATAAATTAAATACTATGCATTAGAAGGTTGGAAGAATCTATGTCAATCCCATATTTACCGAGAAAAAAAGCGCATTCGTACTGAACCGTGGAGTGCCTAACAATCAAGGCTAATTGTCTTACCGCGTCATTCCTAATTATACTTCTGTCTGACAACACAGTTGTACTACTACTGCTATCCATTCTGCCGCACGACGTCATCTAATACCTCTAATACCTGCCAGATTTAAGTATCAGTCACGGTATTAGGTAATGAATCAAAGGAGTGCCGGCATTAACATAATAGAAGTCACGGCACCTTGTTGATTGATAGCTAATGAATTTTAATTTCCCGAAAGGAAAGTGAATAGGATAATCATCTGCATAACATTTGTACCATTTGTAAAAAATGTTATCAATGTTTTTAGACTTTGAAAGATTTTTAATAATTTAATATATAAAAATCATATTTAAAATTCTATTTCTTTTTGTGCATAAAACGTGATTATAGTGGAAATTTCATATTCCTACCAGATCGAATTCTAATCATTCAATTCCGCGACTCAACCAACTCAGACCGCGACATAGATACATTCGTGTCGTTCTTTGATACGAACCGCCAATAATCCGAAGTGTGACCGGTACAAGCTTTATCGTGCGATCGGCGATTCGTCTTTCGCTCCGACAATCGGCAAGGAAAAAGCGCGAAAGGGACGGAGAAGCAGCGGGCCGACGTAAAGATCCCGGAATGAGGGGAAGGATGGAAGTTACACGACTGAGATGATGACAAAGAGAGCTTATTGATTTTGTATGAGACAAGAGAGAGATGAGCGGCGCGAGTGAGATGATTCCGCGAGATAAGTTCCGCGATTCACGTGACTCGTACGTGATCGGCACAAGGATGATTCATCGAACAGCATCGAGCTAGTTGACGATTGTAATACACGCTTAATTTCTTTTTAATTTAATTATATCCTCTTCAATTGCGCTTTTCTTTGGCCCCAATCAATATCATAAGAATCCTAATATCCCTGATCGTTCTTACACGATACAAACTCGTGATTTCATTGCAGCTTATGCGACTTTTAAACGCCCATCGGTTACCACATACCGCAGGAGCTTACCGAGTTATTTTTAACCTGACGAGCAAAAGAGAGCTAATTACTTTTTTATGAGCCCCGGAGATATCGGCACGTAACAAACTGCTAAGTTGATGAGGCGGAAAAATGCGCAACAAAGTTGGCAGATCACCGTTCCCGCGATAAAAGGACGAAATCCAAGGAAGCATTCGCGAGACAAGAAGGAGCGGTAAGGCGCACATCCGCATTAACTGCACGGTGAGCGGCTCCCTTTGACGGCGACAGCGGCCAGGACGACCCTGAAGAAGCCGCGATAAAGCGCATTAATTTATCGCGCGCGCGCTTTTCCCCCCGGAAATCTTTTTCCAAGGTGCATCGATCCAAAGAACAAGACTAGAAACGAGCAAGCACGTCCGTGACCCGATCGTTTCTTTTATTTTCTCATTTTACCTATTTACTTTATTGAATGTCAGACGTGTAACGATTACGCAATTCCGCTACTTGCAATGCGCGAAAAAAAAATTTGTAATATAATATCTACTCTACTATGTAATATTAATTTTTTCCTATATTCTTTACTTCCAATAAGTTAAATAATTAATAATTTAATAATTTAACGATGACGATAGGAAAGAAAATTTATTAAGATGAAAGGGGCAATGGTTAAAGTATTAAATAACTATTTCCTCTCACGCGAACATTCTGTGAATAAAGATTAAGATGTCTGCCGATAAGCAAAAGCGTTGAGACTCATCGCGTGAGTTTATTAAGAGGATTCCGATCCGGTTAAGCAATCTGAAAAGCCCGAGCAAAAGGGAGACGAGCGAAAGAGGAACTAAAGAGCATCCATGCAGCGCAGACTATTTCCGATAGGACTTAAAACGATCCTTATAACGACGAATGAAAGAGAATATAGATTTTCGGAGGCGGGGGACACCGCGGGGTTATAACGAGACAGTTGCACAGCAGTCTGGCGAATGAAATCAATGAGCTAACAGGCTTGCTCGGAGTTAGCAGTTAGCTAATTAAGTCGGCATTATTGGATCATGGAAGCCAAGCATCGCGCTCGCTCCCTCGCCATGTACACCGCGGCCACTCCACACGTACGCGTCGTAATATACTTGGGCCGCGCTGGCACTGCAAGGGTGGACGCCGCGGGGCCTGCACGACCTGCCAGACGTGTTTTAATTAGAGGTGAGTTCCGTCGCGCGGGACGACCTTTGAGAGAGACTTACGGCATCCCTCACGTAAGTAGAATTTTCGCGCGTCCTCCGCGAAGCCTCCTCACATCATCACTGCCTACACTGCCGTGCCGCGAGTGCGAGGACCGCGTGAAAAAAAAAAGTCGCGCCTACGCGAAAAATAACGAAGTCGAGGAGTGACAAGTGCGATGGTGAAGAATAACTCGCGGCGAGTGTAAAATCGGTACTTGGAGGACGAAACAAAGTGTGTCGAGCTTGGCCAGCCTGTTTGCAGCACGCGACGCAGGTAATTCATTCTTTCCGTTCGATCACAATAAGAAAAGATTATGCAATATGTAATTTGATAGCGCATTATAAGTTTTCTTCATTACCTCAATTGATCTTCAATTGCATCAATTTTACGTATACACAAAAATCATTTAATATATAAATATAATAAGTGTGATATAAAATATGATATAATCAAGGTAAGTTCTTTATGAGCTATAAGCATGGCAAAGTGAGAGCGAAACACACATATACGCAGAGTTCGCTCGCATGATCCAGAAAAATATACCGAGAAGTTAAATGTTGCATGAGCTCGGCGAAGAGAAGACCAAGCAACTAGATTCTCAGTATCAATTAACCCGCTAACGGAAATACGATCGTCGCGATTTTTCGAGACGAGAACGCGAGAACTGCGACACTTCAAGCGCTGAATCTACGAACAGGCCGATGCTTTATCTGCCGAAAGCATCGATCGCTGGGTGTCTATAAAAGGGACAAGGCGTAAGCAAGAAAGGACTGCGTAAGATGTCCCGCCTGCGAGATATGCGCGTTTCTACGCCGCGAGGAGTGCGAGCCAACGTGCGGAAAGACTCGACTAGTGCGCGGCGATTCCTTTCTTTGCAAATGTCTATACTAAGAATGAGACAGATTCAAACTGCGGAGAAATAATTTTCGAAAGAAAAACAGGGAAAAACAATACGTTGGGAAATAGCAAAATTCAAACTACGTATTGCGATGCTTTAAAAAATTGTTACATTATTCGCACACAAGTGGCCGTTATAAAAACAACCAAAAGTTAATTTATGTCTATCATTCTCAGTATTTCAAACATTTACATATTTCTCGGACTTTTGATAACGTTTATCGCATTACCAGTATTGCGAAGAAAGAGTATTCCTTTCGAAAGCTATAAAATGACAAAGGTGCAGCGACCACGGAGCTCAAAGCTTCGAACAAAACGGTATATTTCATATTTCGCTTACGGAAATCACGACGCAGCATAAGTTGACCGAGTATTCGCGATGACAATAATTAATCGCAAAAAGAAAGCGGCGAATAAACGATTAACGACTGTACGTGTGCAGTTCTTTCGCGGAGAAACGCGAGCGAGCCACTTGTCAGCGGTTCACCGTGGTGCTTTCCGACGGGAGGAGTGTCGAACCCTTTTCAACTGGTCCCGGGTCCGGTCGTACCCGACGACGTTCGTTTTCGGCCTCTCCCCTCCCGCAACTCCTCACCTCTCTTTTTTCCTCCGCCACCACTACTGTTGCCGTTTCTTCCCAGGGATTCGCGGTGCTAACATTCCACCGTGGCAGGCGACCGTCCTCCAAGACCGAACAGATATCAACTTTCCCACAGCTACTTTTTCGGGGAGCGAACGCGCGGTACGTGGCCGTACTGTCTTGCCGCTTTCTGCGATCGCGCAAAAACGCAGAGATGAAAGCCGGAAGACCCACTGATCCTTACACGCTCGACAATTGATCATGTGAGAATTGATTGTGAGAGTTGCATTTAGCCTCTTACAATAATTAATACCTCGCTGTCATTATCGCAACTTGCGTGTATAAATTTAATTTTTCGAAATTTTATCAATAGGGCTTGCCGATTAAAATTGATAATTAACTGATTGGTTTTATCGTCTTTGAAAAAATACAATCTGCGCTGTAATCATGATTTTTTTAGAAATAATGAAAACTTTTATCGGAGAGATCAAAATTTATCTGTCAATAATAAAAATAATTCTTTTCAAGAAGCATCGCGATTATCCAAATCCAAATTATTCATTTTTCACTAATCAATTCAACGTAGAGCAATGTAACAGAAAGCGAGCGTCAATTTTTTAGAAAGAAGTCAAGCCTGAGAAGTAAAGCAGGTTGATTTATATTAACACATGCCGTGCAATGGTTCCTCATACATATCGCGCTTCTCACAACGCGCGTGTTTCGTTGCCCCGCAATTCTTCCTTCCTTTTAAAGAGCTCGGACTCGAGTCCACCTCTCGGTCGTTTAATACGCAGAAGAGGACGAGCGAAGAGGGCGAAAAGAGGAGCGGCAGGAAGACGGAGCGAGTGACGCGGAAAGCTTTTTTCTGAAATCGCAGGACTCGTCCCCTCCTCTCCTCTCCTTCTTGGTTGTCTCTCGCGGCGTGCAGTCGGGCATCAATAATTTAACGCCCCGTCGTATCAATAAACTTGCACCGACACACACCGGCGCGAAGGAGAGGAGAAAGGCGACGAGTCCGCAGGATGAAGAGCGAAGGTGCAAAGGGAAGAGACAGAGGCAGGAAGATCCTAGTGGGCGCCGGGAGGGAATAGAGGGAGTTAGACGAGGTCGAGAAATGGAGGACGGAACTGTGAACGTTCTCCGGATCGAGTGGCTTTTCTTACGGCCGTTCATATATAGTCAGTGACGCGCCGTCCTCTCGCTCGAGTCACTCTCCTTCCCTCCGACTCGATTACAAGCGGCAAGAAGCGGCATTACACGGGACACGCCGCGCCGACAAATCGACGGATTATGCCGGACGGGCGCCGACCTACCGGGAATAAATGAATTGGCTAACGACGTGACTCCTCTCTTTTCTCGCCCTGCGTAACCGGCAGTTTCTCTGCCGAGTCAGCGTAGGCAGAGATTTACACGGCTTCGCGGAAATTCAAGGATACGTGTCGGAGAAAACGCGAATTAATTTCTTGCGCACATTTAAAGGTGCGACACTTAGTTCGCGAAGGAGCAAAAATTGGCTAAATTGATAATTGCATCTTTTTAAAAGGCACGAGATCATAGTTTGTCACAAATTTCAACATTGAAATTTTACATCCAGATATCCTACGTTTATTCCTTTCGGTTAGAGATAAAAAATTAAGCATTCGTCAGAGGAAGAAAGAATAAGGATTCTCTCATTGAAACTTTAATTATACATGGCGCGCTGTGATAGTGTTTCAAACCGAATGATAATCCGGTTAGAAACGGTAGACTTACTTTCTTGAAGCTTATCAACTGCGCCTTTAAGAACCAAGAGAAGCGAATGAAAACAATCGGAATAACTTATAAATGGATTATGATAAAGTGTATGCATCAGGAAAAATAAAGTTCGTCAGGGGATAATTTATAACTCTCCGTAACTTTGCGATAACTCTATATCTATTCTTTCAAATTATTTACTGTTTTAATATATATCTGCGCGATTTTCTTCTCTTGAATATTTAAAATATTAACAATCAAAACTTTCATAAGAATTCATTAATATTTACATGAAAGTCAGATAAACGCATAAGCTATAATAAAATTTACTACACTTCGTTAAATCGATAATCGACAACATTATACCATTGCAAAAAGATACGGTGCAACATTTTGCCGTAAAGAAATATGTAAACACGAAAATGATAAGTTCACCGTTATTATTGTTATTAAGTCTTAATTATCTCACGAGATAAGAAAAATAATTTTCGACATACGCAAAATTCTGATGCATCTTAATTATCAGAGTAAAAGAAATTTCATTAAATCTTAAGCTTAGTATAATCCGATTAAAACGTACAACCGATAAACAGACAAGGATGCGTCGTAGCCGACGACGCCTTTTCGATCCTTTCTTCGCCCTATCCTTCTTCGGCAACGCCCGCCGAAGCTTTCAGGAAGCAAGCTACTAATTAACGATTACCACTCATTCACGGGGCACTCGAGAAGGAATATAATTAGTACTCACCTTTGTGAGCCAGGGCGCTGCTAAAACACTCGACCGGCCGATCCTGACATCTCTTAAAATATTCCAAGAGTGTCCGGAAAGTCATCCTCGATCCCGAGCTCGATGACGAGAAGAAAGCGTTGATTTTTCGATGATGCGATAAAACATTCCTTTCGAAATGTTTTCGTCGATTTTACACACTTCACGCACTTCACACACTTATGGACATTCGTGTTCTGTAAGAAAAAAACAAATATGTTTAAATAAATTTACATGACACATTGTTTCACGAAAATTATAAATTAATTGATAAATCAATTCATTAAAATTTAATGTATTTTAATATAACATACGGTGTTATATAAATTTTGTTAAATAATATCGTTATGATTTCAAATTAAAATAAACTAATACATATTTTATTATCTTTCTAGATTGATAATATTTTATACATTTTACAGAATCTATGAATGTAATCTATAATTGTTAATCTATTATTATTAAATATTTCAAATAATCTACAGATATTTCGGCTTCAACAGTGGAAATCTGTCTATCTGCAAGATGAACGATTACGAAAGTAATCAGCGCAGCAGTATTCATGATAAACAGAGAGAAATGGAGAATCGAGGTAGAAACCAAGGCACAGGGCCTGGAACTCTTAAACGATTGGACAGCATTCAGGATCCAGGAAAAAGATACACGCTGAAAGAGCGTATCGGTGTCGGTATATATGGCGATGTTTACGAAGGGATTGATCAGCAAGCTGGTACGTAATAAAAATCTATGTCGAATATGAATTAAAATATAAGTATAAAAGCATAAAAAGATACTATCATTAGCAGGCAGTGATCAAAAATAGATGCACGCATATCGATTGTTTCAGGAAATAAAAGAGTTGCCATTAAGATCCAAAAGCTCACGTCGGAAACGCAATCCCTAATTGTGGAAGAATATCGTATTCTTCGTGATTTCGCCGGTCATCCAAATCTCCCAGAATTCTACGGAATATATCGCAAGCGATCCGGGAAACAGTCTGAGTTCGACCAGATATGGTTCGTCATGGAGGTGAGTTTTAGATTACAAAATTAAATAATATATTGATAACGATTTGTGATTACGTAGAGAAAATTTTATACCAAAAATTATTATAATACGGCAACAGGACGCGGGCCATAAGAATTATAAGTTTAAATACTACATATATATGATGATATGAAAAAACATAGTAAACATTTTTATAATTCCTTCGTGATCCGCGCGACTACTGTGCCGTACATAATAATTTTTGATATAAAATTTTCTCCGTGTAGAACATGAAAATATAATTTATATATTCTAAGGCACAAATTTAGAAACACAGTTTTACAGTTCCATTTGCTAAGAATAAGTCTCATTAAAGAGAGCAGGTCAATGGTGTTGTCTTGATTTCTATAGCTTCCTCCAAAGTTGCGCTCATCTTAATGCACTAACTTATCCAATATACTGTATGACACACTTAACGATGTCATAAAGAACGATTTAGCACCGCAAATGGACATTTAAGTCTGCAGGGCATGGCTCGATCAGTTCGAGAACGTGTAATTATTGTTGCAATTCATTGTTATTATTATACCGAAGGTCAGAGTCGCGGCAAAGTTCCTATCGACACCGCGTGATATGTATATCCGTAATGCGTCTTTAACATCGTAATTCCCCAAGAGAGAAAGAAACAGAAAAAAAAAAAGATACAGAACGGAGATGCAGAACGAAAGATGAAGGTAACACGAAGGAGACATGGGAAAAGAGAAAGAGAGAAAGAGAGAGAAAGCAAGGCCAGAAGCGAGGGTTGCCGCATATACCCATGCTCAGAACCCGGAGGCAATTTCAAGCATTTGAGACCGTCGAATACAGGGATAATTTACGACACACGCGCCCCCATTAAACAATCATTAAACTCGTTCGTGTACGCAGGTGAGGCCCCGGCACGTCGCGGCCCTAATTTACGGACGGACCTCCGCGGTGTACGCCCGAAATATTATTAATACTTATCTCGAGTAAAGCGACGATGGTTGACGTAATACATGCACTCAAAAATCGGCCGAGTTATCTTGGGATTCGACGCCTTTTCGGCCACGCCTTTATCGTTTGAAGCGCGTCGATGCACAAAACATCTCTTGAGGGAAGCCGCTTCGAATTTCGTTAACTTTCTACATGACTTCGCAGTAAAATACCATGTATACCTTCTTTTGCATTAACTTCGGATATTATCCTGTCATAAAGATATGTGGGATATTTTTGAAAACGTAACAGCGAGAAGAATTAAAAGAGAAATAAATAGAAGAAAAAGAGAGACGATGAGAGAAAAAAGATACAGTATATTATGCTTCATTAATCTATGTCTAGTTTTTCTATTAATTTAAATCAAGCTTGATAAGTGTACTCATTGACGGCATCTTTTAAAATACAAATAATTTAATTAACAATGATCTCTAAACACAAATTTAGTATGCGGCGAGACTGAAAGAGTGTTTCAACACTAAATATTTAATCAATCTCGATTAATATTCCGTTATCATATATTTAATACCTGCTTTATTCGCTCGTGAGAGAGTTTCCTACGTTTTCAACTTCGACCACCCACATTCTCGATCAATCTCTCTTTAGAGTTTCACGCAGATTCAAAAGCAACGCGCAAACACGCTATAAAACGACAAAATCTGCCTGAATCTTACGATCTACTTCAAGTAAACTCGCGTGCAAGGGTCGGGGTCGAGCTAAGTACCTACAACGAAGAAACGTAATGAGTCGCCGATCGCTACCTCAAGTCTGCTGATTGCTCGTTGCCGGAGATTACAAGCAATAAAGACGCAACAGGCCGCGGAGGCCGGCGGTAGAGAAAGAGACGCGCGGCGCATCTCGCGCCGGCGATGCAACGCGGACCGAATAACAGTTTTGTAAGTCAATCGGCTTTAAGTCGGCTAGCGGACAGAGAGGAACGCTGAGAGATTTCGCGAAGGAGAGGGATAGAAAAAAAATGCGCAACGACAATGTGCAGGATTTATCGCCGGTGATATTTCATATCGAACGAGTTTTACGGGCGTGCACGCGCGGCTTCGGTAAGGTGACATGCGTAGAACTGCGATAATCGATGGACCGCGACAAGAGAGTCTCCTATGCCGCGGTTTGATGATACCGACTCTGTTGTATCGCATGTAGTATCCGAGAAGAAGGAGGGTTTTCACCGTCACGTATGAGCGGAATGCTATTCGCGGTTCACTCTAGCAAAGCTAATAAACAAAAACATCTGTGCGCACCATAGACTAATAAAATATAGCATTCTAGCGGAACATCTTATAATTTTATGTAAAAAAATAGTTTCTTTTTCAAGGGAAAAGCGCAAGATTCGGATAAATACATATTAAAATCGTGAAAGAAAGGCAGAGTCTATTTCACGAACCGCGATTCTCACACGAGATCAAATTCCGTGGTAATGTGTGGACGAAGCGTCGGATCACGTTTACTCAAGATTACCGCACGTTTCGTGTAATTGTAGACATACGAAGTTTATTACGCTTTGAGTATAAGTTTTCCAGGCCGTGCTTAATTTCTGGAGGTATGAACTACGAGAATCGTTCTCTCTTCGGTTCAGAATTAGCTTCCGTGCACCTAACAGACTATTAAATATTCAGGAAATTTATAAAATACTTTAAAAAATTAGTGCCAGTATCAAAAATCTGTCTATTCTGCTAAGGAAAAATTATTATGCCATTTTACTGACAAAAAACTTTGAATTTATAGTTAATAATTGGATATGGCATTGTATGTTGCAGTTTTGCGAGGGTGGGACAGTCATGGATCTTGTTCACGGAATGATTGCAAATAACAAAAGGATGCGAGAGGAGCATATTGCCTTCATTTTGAGGGAAGTCATCAAGGTAAATTTCAACATATCTCGATTTTTGTATTCTCCGCAAAAAAAAATACATATCATTATTTGAAACACGCATCGCAATATTTTCCTCGATTTTGTATTACTTAATTCAAAAGTATCGCGTCTACGAGACAATCAATCATTAATGTTATAATGCGGAAAAATCTGACTGACCAAAAACAAATGAGCTCTGCTAAGATAATTGGTTTTTGCTCGAGTACGGAGTAATATGTGCGTCAGTAGCCGAGAAAGATGACCGTCGCGGAATGTTCAGCAAAATTGTGTTGCAATCTACCCCTCATCACACATCCAGCTATCCCCCTTGTCATTCTTGCTACCCACCTCCCTCTCTTGATACCAAGTGTAATAAATATTACCCGCGTGGCAGAGTGCACCGGTGAACCAACAGAAATGATAATAGTAGGTAGCCACGGCAATAGTCGCGTTATTACGATATAATTATGCTCGATGCTATGTCCCGGCGGAGGCTTTTATCTCACGGCAGATTATCCCGCTGATTGCACAAGACCCATTGGCGCCGAAACGTATTCGTGTTGTGCAATTAAAAGACACGGAAAAACAGCATATTTCGCGGCCAATTGCAAAAAGATAACCCGTACTCGCGATAATTATAATAACTGTTCGATAAATGCTTCAAGGATTGTTGCGAGTGTTCAAAGGAATGAAATAATTAGTTTGATACTTTTATCAAAGTGCCGTGTGTACACATAAATTAACAAACTTGATAAAACAAAGTGGCTATATCACTGCAAGGCAATAGCCTAATGAATTCATAAAGTTCATATCCAGTAAAAATATTCTTTTTTTTTTTTGGTTGCTTTCACCATTACTAATATTAATGGGCAATGCACTTAACGTCGAGATAAATTTAAACCGCTGCATTAATTGAATATTACTGTTGTTTACGACAACCATAAAACGTAAGTCGTGCCGTTAATTTTCCACGAGTTTCGCGAGAAAAAAAAAAGTAAGGACAGACACAGTGGATGGCGAAACAAGCCGGAAATGGATAACACGCAAATAAAGTAAACTAAGACAAATGTTCAAATGAGAAAGACAAAAGCAAGAAAAACCCAGATAGAGAAAAAGGGAAGAAAAGTTAAGGAGACGCAAGATACGAAAAGCTAAACGCTCTTCCGTAGGTTGCTATAATTTTACTTAATAGTTAATGATCACGGCAGACGGATTCGCTTATTTACAATGATACCATCTTCCATGATTCCGGTCTCTCCTAGGAGGTCGGATAATTGGTGAGAATATCGTGTTCATTTCTCAACGGACTTAAGAAGCCGCATGTGCATGAAAGGAAAACTAAAGGCGGGAGTCGCGAAAAAAGCGAATGACAGAGGCACGCCACAGGATGGAACCTAAGTGACCATTTCCGCTTCGATTCGTGTGTCATTGAATTTTTCCTTGCTACATTTCTACTTTTCGTTATTTGTTGCTTTATTTATTATCCCTTACATACGGAATCAGTACTGCTAATAGAGGCTGAAATTAGAGTTTCAATTGTGATTATACATAGAAGACCAAAATAATTAAGTTAAACAAAATAATAAGGTAAACCTCTGCTGATTAGCTTAATTATTTATGCAGCAATAATATATATTATATTATTTAACTGAGCAAAATAATATTTAATTTCTTCAAATTTCTCTTACCTCATTATTCGAACATATTATAACGGGAAATTATTAATTAATTAAATAAAAAATTATTATTCAATATTAGTTAACGCTAGTCAACATATAATTTTAAGAAATGCATATAAGTTCGCGAGCTCGTATAAAGATATAGTTTATTCTGAACTTTATAAATTATCGGATGTTTCGCAATATCTCTCACTGATAAACGTATTTCCTTCCGAATCTTAATATTCTCCTCGAAATTCACTTCTCCCTTCGAGTAAGCGCGGCGAAAGGGCACGACGCGCGTAATAGGCCCGGCATTCTTTCTGCCGCGAGTGCCTCACGGCGATAATATTTACGATCCAGGCAGTTTGTCACTAAATCATTATGTGGGTCCACCTTTCGGATATGCCTCATGCACGCACAATCCGGTGCCCTTCGCCACTGGGCCCCAATGCTCCCCGCCGACCCACCGCTTCCCGGCTGCCCACGCCGTTCCTTCTCCACCTTGGAAACTGCACACGCAACCCTCCTGTCTCCCTCTTTCTTTTTCCTACTCCTGTTCTCTGCCTCTACCCTCTTTCCTCGCGGATACGTGTTCCATGGGCCCAGTAGCGATTCGTCCACGGTCACTCGTGCGGTAAATCAGACCACGTTGACGTTTAATGCCGGCAAATTACACGCGAAATAAATGCCCGCGAAGAGCAGTGCACAGCGAGCGCAGTGCTCGAAACAGAAACACAAAGAGAGCACGGAAAACGGATAAAGAACGAGAAACGAATGGAGACTTCCACTATACTTCTTCTGTACGATCGTTATATCCCGTTTAATCTTTATCCGCCAATTAACAATTCGTTCGTCCCTTGAATTTTCCTCTTATTCCTGTAATTATTTTTTGTGTTTCATCCGGTTATTCGTTAGCAATATTTTCTATATTTTTCTATTTTTATTTTAAATGCATCGTCATATATGTGCAAAATATAAATACCAATTTGCTGGGTAATTTTATTTGGACGTAAGAAAAATAATACACTTCAGTCTGTCATTATAAGTTTGATACTGAGATCACAAATCTGTCATATATTAAAAAAGTTTGAATAGGAATTTGTGAAGATAAAAACAATTCATTAAAAATCAGTTAATGAAAAAATGACTAAAGGCCGAAGGAAAAAATCATTAAAAATGATCTGAAGATCTAAAAAAAATGAATGAAAAATTTGATGTTTATGATGAGCAACTTTGTAAGACAGCTTAGCTTTAGCTTTGAAGTGTGGAATAACCTTTGAACGGCTTGCTGATGAGTCTGGAATTAATGATTTCATGCTTATACCACGTCGGAACTGCTCACTGACCCGCGCTTGTTACGCGCTGTGAGTGCGGCCGGCCGCAAATTATAGATCGTTCAATTTGCAGTAAATCTATAAAGATGATTCTCGCAAGACACTGCAAGTGCCGAGTTGCTAACTTCCCTTCCGCATAGTCGTACCTCACAGATATTCCGCGCACGTTGTGTTTAGATCTCAGAATAATGCACGATATATTACACTATATAATATTAATAGCATTTTACGTTTTTATTAACGTTAAAATTAAATCGATTAGTTTCATTAAATATTTTTCTGTCGCTAAATTGATAGCACGATATGTACAATAATAATAATGTTTCCCATAAAAATATAATTTAACTCTGTTATAACATTCTTTCATCCGCTTGGCGCTTCAAGTATTTATCGATAATAATTTTGCGGTTTAATAAAATTGATTTGATTGCGCAACAATAACGATACCAAAGCTAAGTATTACATGACATCTATTTCTTTTTTTTTTATTTCAGGCTTTAATCCACTTGCACGAGCACAATGTAATCCACAGAGACATTCGTGGCAACAACATCGTTCTGACGAAGGAAGGAGAAGTGAAATTAGTGGACTTCGGACTCTCCAGGACGGTGAAGAACGAGCTGGAGAAACGGCACACCTGCATAGGATCGCCATCCTGGATGGCGCCGGAAGTCGCCAGTAGCAAAGGAAGCGGGACCGATGGTGGATACGGCAGCCGGGTCGACGTGTGGGCGATCGGCATTACGGCAATAGAGCTAGCCGACGGCAAAGCGCCGTTCGAAGACATGCATCCGACGCGTGCACTCTTTCAAATCGTTCGCAATCCACCACCAACCCTTTACCGACCCGCCAACTGGTCGCAGAATCTCAACGACTTCATTTCGGAGTACGCGATCAGTTAGATATGAATATTGTTTCATCGCGGAAAAATATCGCGAACCAAATAACACGAGATCTACGACGATCCGTTTCAGATGTCTCGAGAAGAACCCAGAGAACAGACCGTACGTGATGGAGATCATTGAACATCCCTTTTTGTCGGAGCTACCCGAGAACGATTATCCGGTAATGTATGATATCAGTACGATGCGAGCTACGAATTAGTAACGAGATTACAAGCATGTGCTCATCAACCGATTACCTACATCCTTCGCAAGATCTCAAAAATGTACAAACTCGGTTTTTTAAAACACGATTATTAAAAATAAAAAAAAATAGAATTTGTGATAACAAAATAGAAATTTGTTATTTATTAAGAATAAAATTAAATATTTTTTCAAAATTGTCTTGAACCGAAATTTTTAAAGCGTTCAAGATATTCGAGATAACTTCAATATAAAACTTGTAAATACCCCTCGGCATAAATGATTGCAATAACCAAAAGCTAAATGTACACAACGTAGATATTATATTTAGCTGACGCAAGAAATCAAAACACTGGCGACGAATGTCTCCGAAAAGGGCAGAGAGCAAAGAAAAGCGGAATCGATAGTTCGCAAAGGTTTCTTAAAGGTAAGAACTTGCGTAAATAACAAAATAAATTGCAAATGCTTATCTTACAGCGCGCATTAAACGAAAATCTTGCTCAACAGACTCATCAAGACGAACCGCCAGAACATATGCTCACGGAAGACTTGGCAGCACTGGATGTCCTGAGCGAAAATGTGATCTTGGATGAACTTCACGAAAGACTGCAGCGGGGTGAATATCATACATTTATCGGCGACGTTCTATTGATACTCAATCCAAACGAAAAACACGATATTTATGGTGCTTACGTAAGTGTTATGCTTAATCACTAATTGTGTGTGTGCTCAAATTTAACCGTTAATAAAAATATAAATATATATTAAATGTATAAAATTAAATTATATATATAAATTAAATATATAAAAAGGCTTTCGAAAGCTTAATTAGTAAGCGTATTTAATAACAAGATTGTAATAATCTTATCTCTCCTATGTATAATTCTCATAAAAAAATTGTAAGAAAAATTTGAGATGTTTCATTTACAGTATCACGCGAAATATCAATGCAAATCGCGATCGGATAATGCCCCTCATATTTACTCCGTGGCAGACAGCGCGTTTCAGGATGTTATGCATAACGAAGAATCGCAGCACATCTTGCTAGCCGGTGAGAGCAACTCTGGGAAAACGACAAATATGCTGCATCTGGTGAACCATCTTATGTTCCTCGGACGAGTGAGTTTAACGCGCATGTTCGGTATATAAATAAAATTACGAGAAAACTTGTTCATTTTTTTTTAAGGGTCTGCACGATACTGGAACGAGAGTGCTGCGAGCTATAAAAATTATTCATGCTTTCACAAATGCCGCGACACCGCTGAATGTTAATTCCACCAGATGCATATTACAAATACAGACGACATTCGGCTCAACCGGTAAAGCATCCGGCGCAATATTTTGGCAATATCAATTAGAAAAGTGGCGCGTCTCTACTCGCGATAGGTAATTTATATAACTTTTATTATAGAATAATATTACGCACACAGACATTTATTTGCGCAATCTTTTCATTCAAAATCTATGAATTTTTAAAATTCTTCTAATTAAATTGAAACACTAAAAATATATCGCACTGTATATTTTAAAGTATAAAGTCCATTACTATTGCATATAAGTCAATAAACAATATTCTTGAGAGATAATTATTTATAACACAAAAATTGTATAATTATTATAAAAATAATAAAAATAAAATAAATAATGATATAATTTAATTGATATTACAAATGTGAGAATAAGAAATAATAAAAACAAGTTACTTTTCCAGAAATCAGTCAAATTTCCATGCCTTTTACTACTTTTACGACGGTCTCGAGGCGTCAGGAAAATTAAAGGAATATTACCTATCAGGTGGAAGAAGACTTCGATATCTCAGAATAACTGACAAGGGCACTGAAAAGAAGCGAGCGTTCAAAGTGAGGAATGAACCGCAAAACAACGCAGTGAAATTCGAAGAACTCATGGAAAGTCTAAAATTTATAGATATGGAAGAACATTGTGAGATTATTCGAAAGACCCTTGCAGCCATTCTAATTCTCGGAGAAATTCAATTTGTCGAAGGCAATAACGGGGAGGCTGAATTGGATAACAACGAAGCCGCTGATAAAGGTACAAAGTTAAATTCGAAAATTTAACGCGTTGCTATTTCGTGAAATTTACTTTAATACATTGTATTAAAGTATCGCGAAAAATGATATTTCAATTTACAGTGGCGGAACTCCTTGGCCTGGATTCAAAGAAATTTATCTGGGCTCTCATAAATTATTGCTTGATCGTGAAAGGATCGGCGATACGTAGGAAGCACACTTGTGAAGAAGCGAAAGAAGCACGAGATGTCCTGGCGAATACTCTTTATCAACGTTTAGTAGACTGGATAGTCAACAACATCAATTATAAGTTGTCAATGACTCGTAGTCTTTAGTAAGTTATGCAAAATTATTTTTTATAAAATTGCATAATGAATAAAAAAGCTAAAACTAATGAGCGAATTATATCATCGATTTCTCTCAATTTCTATTAGCGGTGACAAATATGCCATTAGTATCCTCGATTATTTCGGATTCGAATGTTTCACGATGAATCGACTGGAACAGCTGCTGGTGAATACGATGAACGAACAAATGCAATATTATTATAATCAAAGGATATTCGTCTGGGAAATGGTAAATTTTTGTATAACCTGATATATATGTATACATTTTAATGTACAACAAATTTTTAAAGTTCTTTTAATTTTGTTTGTTATATATTAAATATATACTAAAGAGAGAGAGAGAGAGAGAGAGAGAGAGAGAGAGAGAGAGAGAGAGAGAGAAATCCACTCATAATTCTTAAAGAGCAAGTTATATTTATAAAATTTTCTATATTAATCAATTTAGAAGCGAAATCGATGAAGAACTGCATACAAAATAAAAGAATTTATACTATGTATTGGTTTTGCGATTTCAGCAAGAACAAGAAGAGGAAGATATACCCACACAACGGTTGCGCTTTTACGATAATAAGGAAGTGATCGATCAATTAATGAGCAAGGAAAATGGTCTCTTCCATATTATCGATGACGCTTCGCGGCAATTGCAGGATGCTCAATACATCCTCGAGAAGATCAAAGAATGTAAGCCTAGTGTTTACGTGAAACCGGTGAGCTCGCATGAGTTCACGGTCGCGCATTACACCGGCAAGTTGATATACGACGCCAGCGAGATTGCCGCGAAAAATCGAGACTTCGTGCCGCCGGAGATGATCGGCACGATGAGGTTCTCCTCGCATGATGCAGTTAAGCAGATGTTCACGAATAAGCTAACTAAGTCGGGAAACCTGACGATCGTCGATGAACATAGTCTCGCGGAAGAGAAAACGTCGAAAAAGAAATGGAATGTTCTCATGCAGGAATCTTCCAAGTTTCGGGTAAATAAGATGTAAACGAATGTATTTTTTGCTATATCGAAATACGCTATTTATGAAAAAAAAACACATTTGACACATTGACACATCTCCATAAAATAATTCTAAGTTCGTGACATTTAGTTTTATAAAATATTAATCTGTGATATTTAAGACACACAGATTTTCTCAAATAAATTGGCTTCTTGTGTCATGCTATTCTTACGATTTCTTTATCTCCACGCAAACATATAGCTTATGCAAAAATTTATTGAATGGGAAAACTTGCTTTCGAGGTGCATCGATTTTTTTTATACACGGTATACCTTTAATATCTCGAATTTTAATAACAAATTATCTGATCAACTCGACGTTTCCCACTATTTTAAAGCATAATTTAGATGTTAGAAGCAACTATATTACATATAAAAATTTTTTTAAAAACGTTTGTACCTTACAATACAATAAATCTTTATTTTCAATAGAAATACAATACTGCGTCTAAAGGATACTACTCTCAGACGCGCAAAATGCGGACGTGTTCATCGACGTTTAAAACAACGAGTCGCGAAATTTTGAAAAATCTTGCGGTAGGCACTGCAAGCGGCGGCATGTACTTCGTTAGATGCATACGCTCCGATCTCGAGGATGTTCCTCGCAGTTTTTATCGAGAAGTTGTCAAACAACAAATCAGAGCGTTAGCAGTTCTCGATACAGCGAAAGCCAGACAACGCGGTTATCCGTACAGAATACCCTTCCAAGAATTCCTTCGAAGGTAATTCAATAATCTTGCAAAGCCAGCACTTTGTGTTAAATACAGCAAGTGGTAAGAAAATATATTGGCTTTAACGTAAAAGTGAGAGCAGAAAAACACTATTTTTTCTTAGTAACATAATGCTACTCATCAATCAACATAATCAATATTTTTTCTATATATATAATACATTAGCCAACTATTTGTAATCCTTTTTTATAGATACAAATTTTTAGCCTTTGAGTTCAACGAGACAGTCGAAATGACGAAGGATAACTGCAGACTACTTCTAATCAGATTGAAAATGGAAGGTTGGATCATCGGTAAGACCAAGGTCTTCTTAAAGTATTACAATGAAGAGTATTTGTCACGCTTATATGAGACACAAGTCAAAAAAATTGTAAAAGTCCAATGTATGATGCGTGCCTTTCTAGCACGCAAAAACATTGCCACTAAGATCGTCGACATTAAGAAAGAGATTGGTAAGTAAATTCGTGAGGAAAATCGCGATAAATGTATTATAATCCGCCGATAATTTATGTTTTGGTAAATGTACATTTATAATCCTAACGTTCTTATAAATTTCTAAACGTTCAATCAATTATAACATCTATTATTGCAGTGAAGAAAGCATCAATCAAGAGAAATAACTCGCTATCGGCTGATGAAGCGGCAGTAATGATACAGAAAGGTAAATAACAAAAGATAATATTAATGACTCTAAGTTCAACGACTTACTCTATCTATTCACAGTAATATGTTCTCAACATCAAATTCTAATATTTCAAAGCACATTTTAAACACATAATTTCAAGATTAAATTCTATCAAGTTATTCTTTTACTGTCTGAGATTTAATAATTTAAAAACTAAAGTCTTCATTCTTTAAAATGTGACATTTGATTGGAAACAGCAAATTTATGTACAAAACATGACAGGATTTGTGAGAGAACTGTCATTTTTATGTAAAAATAAATAAAAAATATAACAAAACTTTTTTCATGCAAGATTTAGTTTTTGAGAAAAATAATTATGAAAATTTGCAAATAGAAATGACTAAATTAATAAAAAATTCAATAAATCTAAAGAAACTTTATGAAAATATAATTATTATCTAAAATTGTTATCTCTATCAATGAATGTAATAAAAATAAATCATAATTTGCATAGGTAAAATGGTTAAAGATGTGTTTAAAACTATTATATGCGTTCAGCTTATAGAGGACATGTGGTGAGAAAAGAAATGGGGCCTCTTCTGAAAGAAGAAATGGACCAAGAAACAAAGGATTTCATCAAATTCTATTGCAGCAAATGGAGATCGAAGAGCATGTTCCAAGTCCTCCTACGATACCGTGCAGCCCGTTATCAAGACCTCGTGCAGTTATCGCAGCAGGTATGATTATCAATAAATTACAATTTCAAACAGTTTTTGTATAACAGCGCTTAAAATCAGAATTATGTCTGATATTAATAAAATTTAATATTTTGCTTGCAAGTCATAAATATTTTTTAATATGTAATAATAGTATAATAGAATGTAAGTTAATAACGCGTAAAAGTATTACACGTATGATTATCATTTCAAATATTTTGACAGATTCATTTATACAATCAATCGACAGTGGCAACTTTGAAAAAAGTGAATGAATGTGTATCTCTTGAAAAAATCGACCCGAGTGTCAAGATAGATACCTATATAAGTAAGATAAAACCACCTCAAGTTCATAAACTACCCTTCGATATGAAACAAGAATTTCTCTACTTCGATACGAGCTATATGAACGATCCTTCAAACGTGAACATTAAACGTGCAGGGTAAGTTACGTATATTAATAGCAAATAGTCTAAATTAGAAATATACATGTCAAAAATGCACATATATATTATAAAATTTTAGTAATATTATCACTCAAGTTATACACGATTTATATGAATACAAACTTAAAGCTAATAATTTTTATCTTTATCGTCAAATCAAGAGCATAACCAAAAAAAATGCAATGTTTAGTTTTTACAAATTTTACAAATATTTTAGGATAAATTTATATAAAATTCTCAAAAAATTGGTTAACATTCTAAAGCAAAATTATTTTGTGTGCGTGCGTGCGTGTGTGTACGTGTGTGTGTATTTCTAATTTATATTTTTTTGCAGCTACATTATTCATGATTTAAAAAAATTGAGCTTTACAAACCTTTGCTTATCAAAATTTTTATAAACAATAGAAATATTCAGTGTAAATTTATAAAATTCGTTATTAAAGATGCGAGTACTAATACGAGTAAAAGATGCGAATAATAACACAAATTTACTCACATTTAATTGTCGCCAACTCGTTCCATAAACGCCGTAATCTTCACGCTTGCAAAAGAAAACCGAATTTTGCGAAGAGACAAAAAGATAACGTGCATGGCCGAATCGGCATAGTACAACGATTCAACGACATTCACTCGATATTTCCGATACTTTACATACAACGTAAATTACTTGTCGCAACCAATAAACGCGAAGTGCGGGACATTTCGAATAAACCGTTTACTTGTGATAAAGCGACACGTCGCGGCGTGGCGCGGAAACATAACAGACAAATGTAGCGAAATCTATCTTATCGACATAAAAGTTTTATCCGATGAGTTTACAGAATGCATAAAAATCGTAAGAACACGAAGCAAATCGTCAAAAAATGACTAGTTATTAGATAGCATTAAAATAATAATTCACTGGCGTAGACATTAATTATAAAATCAATCATTAAACAGATACGTACACAATGACTATATTTACTCACCAATTGTCAGTCCCTGCACGATTTGTTTCATCTTGATTGAACGCCGTAACCTTCAAAACTGCAAAACGAAAGTGCATATCAGAAAATGCAGAAAGTACATCGCGTACGGCCAAATCAACATATTACAACAATCACTCGACTTTCACTCGATACTTCCAACGTTTCATTGTACATACGAATCACTTTTTACAATTAATAAACATAAAACGTGAAACAGTTTCGGAGTTCAACTCGTAACAACGCGATGCGATATAATGCAACATGGCCCGGCGCGAAATTGAACAAGCTAATATAGCGGCTATGCAGTTAATTTGTATAAGTATATGTGCTGATTATAAACGCGCATATTGCAAGAAATGGCTACTAGTTATTAGATTATTGATGTTGAAAATAATAATTCACTTTTGTAGTTCTTACTTTATGTAAAATTGATTGTTAAACATATGAATAGCAGAATATATTTACCTAGTCTCTCTTGTCGATTTATTTCATCTCAACTACACACTGTAACCTTCAAAGTTCCAAACAAACAGCGAGTATCAAAACACGAGCAAGAAAGGTAATGCGAACGGCCGAATCAACGTGTCACAGCGATCGTTCGATATCTATTTTTGATCGATACTTCTTCGTCCGACACTTCTTTGTATGCACAAAGTATTTTTTACATGTAATAAACATGAAAAACAAATGATTAGTTTCAGAATTCAACTTGTAATAACGCGACGCGGCGAGGTACACAGCGCCAAATGTGACAATGGCGTATACAGCGACTGCGCATTTGGTTGATCATAAGCGCGCGTATTATGAAAAGTGGCTACATAAAATTATTAATTTCAGTTTAAAATTAAAATTTACTTTCACGGCAATACATTGTACGACTTAATGCAATATTAATGTTTGCCGTATTTGTAATTTTAAGCAATTTATATTATTATTTACTTTAATTGGCACGTCTGTGTGAATGCTTATTTATATATTTAGTAAAACTTCAACAATTATATTTTTGTCAAAACTAATTTTTCTATAATCATGATATATAGTGCATCGCAAGCTAAAAACATGATTTCATTTAAAAATATGCAAACGTAGATGCATAGTATATTTAAAGCATTAAGTATAAGTGTAAAATAAGTTGTAAAATATAAAATTAAATGGTACAGAAGACAAAACAATAAATTTAAAAAAATATAAAATTTATGTATTTTATACTTAAGATGCACTAACAAAATTTAGAAATAATTGCACAAAATAATTTAACTTATTTTTACAAGAATTGTTGTGATGGCATTTAAATGCTATGTATTTGAATAGTCGTAAATCTCTACTCTGTGCTCTCTTTTATCTACTTTTTATATGTCGATAATTTGACTTTTTTAACATTTAAATATGAATTCTTCGTATTATGCTTGTTTAAAAAATAAGAGTCGTGTAAAAACGCTTCGACGATTTATAGAATCAATTGTAAAAAATTGTAAAAAATTTTTCGCAGATCTATATTGTCTGCGATGAGTGATGATGAGCACGAATCTTGGGATGCACCGTTACGTAGACAAACAGTGCCTTGGGCCAACAAAAATGTTCATACCAGAGGTATATCAATTTACAAATTTGATACACTAAAGAAATTTCTAAGATTTTAAAAAACAAAAAATAATTTATCATTTAGATGTTGAGATTCAAACAACAAATTCGCCACATCGCGTACCTCTACATCGTACATCAATCGGCGGGGATCAAAGTTTAATCAACACTCCGTTCACCAGGGATCCTAACATTCCGATTAAATGTCCAGAGGAGTCATCTCTTCGTAAAAGTAGCATTTCTAATTTTCAGCCTGCGAGTAAACGTGCTTCTACGCAACCGTCAGAGTCTCCCTCTATTTCTTATTCGTATTCTGTAAGTTTGCAACAAAATATATAAGCTGTTTGCAGAATAATATATACTTTGGCAGTTTTAAAGTTATTCCATCCATTACAAATATTTCAATATCAATCCTTAAAAATACTAATTTCTCTTCAATCAAAAAATGACATTGTATAAGCGTTTTAAAATTTTATTGTAACTCTTAAATCTATACTTTTGATCTTAAGCATATAAAATATTTTTTTAACAGATTTTACTTAAAATTAATTAAAAAATCAAAACTTTATTATTTGTTTATGTCTAGTTGCTAAAATCTTTTAACTTACAATTGTTCAATTGTAAAATTTTGAATTAAAAGCTTATAGTTCAAATTTTAATACCCAGATTTTCTTCCCTTTTTGGCAAAAATTGAAGAATAAAGATATATATAAAATACCCAGATTTCCAGCACTAAAAGAATTGTCAAGATTATAGACAATGCTTCAAAAAATATTACGTATAACAAAAATTTGTATTAAAAACATAATTATAATTACATTATATATAAAGATTTATTTTTTATGTATAGAACGTTGCCAAAAAGAAAACATCGCCATCACCATTTAATCAAGCACAATCCTCAGCAATGCGTAATTTCAATAATTATGAATCAGATATTCAAAACAGAAATGTAGACGGAATCACGGAGTGGAAGTTTGAGAGTAAAATCAATCGCAACATCAACAATATTCGGTATAGTCAATGTTGAGATCAATTTTTATTGCTGTTAATAAATTGTTTTTCTAACATGTGTTTTTTTTATTACAGCGTAAATCCCATCAAAGAGTTGGAAATGATAGGTCGTCAAAACAACGATGACGAAAACGACGATGCGCCGCCGTTCAATTTTCAGGTGAGATATTACAATTTTGTTTGTTCTTCCTAAATAATTATATTATTCTAATATATTACTAATATATTCTAATTTATTCTAATATATACTAATTACATATACTAATTTTTTAAAAACATTACAATGTTAAGGCAATGTTGCGGAAAACACCTCATCAGCGCGCTTCGATGAAACGTAACCCCGTATATGAGAGCGTCACACCGTCATCAATGCCGCAGTCTTATCGCCGTGATAGCAAAGACTTATACGACCGAAAAGTCACCTATAAAACTAATGATAGTCAAACTAATGATAGCAAAGATTCGCCAGAATGGAGTCCAAACGAGATGATTCTTATGTCAGAGAAATACGCGAAGGAGGACGCATGGAATGAGGAATGTGCTAACGATGGCGATAGCATTACTACAGAGATCGCACCAGGCATTGTTATTAAAGGCCACGTAGCTGAACTATAAAATATCAAACTAAGACCAGTTGCATCAGTTCGCTGTACTTATACTCAGTCAAACTGTCTCTATATACTTGTTATAATTTAAAAAGTGGAAAAAAAACAAATCGCTAATTAGAAATCAATGAAAACTAACAATGCAACTCTGACCCCTTGCAAAATTTATATCTTGATTCTTAATTTTGAATTCTCAATTGCAAAACGAAAAAATATAACTCTATAACGAGTAGTGCAATAAAATTTGACATTATTAAATCAATAATTCAGAATAATTTAATAAATAGTGTTATATGCGCTTGTAATATATGGAGAAAATTTGATATAAAAAAATTACTGTGATACGACAGTACCCGCAGACCATAAGAAGAATTATAAGTTTAAATATTATAGCTATTATGTGAAAAACATAGTAAAAATTTTTATAACTCCTTCATGATTCGTGGCTACTGCCGTACACAGTAATTTTGGTATAAAATTTTCTCCATGTAGTATTGTTAAACGCATAACATTCGTAAATAAAATAATATATAAGTACTAATATGGAATAACACATTCTCTTATTAAGAAAAATCTTATAAAGAAAAATATCTTAATAAAATTATTTAGTTTTTTTTTTGTTAAGCAATATTAAACATAATACAGCTACAAACATACATCATAAAATGTACTGTTTGATGAAAAGCTGCAATAATAGATATGTACAAGTAAATTCAGAAATTTGCTATAAAAGCAATATGAATAATATAGATATATTTTTGCTCGTAAAAATTCTTAAACTAATATAATTTTCAATAAGCAACAACTTTCAATATGCTGCAAGAACCGTATTTCATTGCACGTATCAATTATTACTTTGTAAAATTTGAATTTAGAAGATGATAAAAGTCATTTTGCGTTATAAACATACTGGCCGTACATAACAACACTTTTCTTAAATGTATAAACGCATATAAATAAAAAAAAAATATCATTCATACACACACACACACTGTGAAAAACAGCGTTTGAAAATGTTTAGTAACATGTGCATATATCACAGTAGTTGACATACGAAAACATATTTTGGCATACCTTCGCACATTCAATCTCATAAACAATATTTAGATTTCATTTTTAACAAAGATGCTGAGGACAGTCTGACATAAAAAAAAAATAAATAATGTAATGTACATCTTATTTATGACCATGGAAAATATATTAATATCTTAATGATAACCTAATAATTAAAAATATGTTTTGTATTTATACCCATTTAACAATATTTGAGTATATAAATTTGCATTTGCTTCGAACACAACGGTTTGGTCCTTACATAATGACTATGTCATTAACATTGTACATTAATAATCTCATCGATTATGTCATCAACAATACGAATTTTATTAAATTAAAATTAAGAGCAAGTCCTGCTTGTAAAATTGTGCAATACTCACATGTAATCGGCAATTTTAACGACTGCCTAATTTTTATCCGGTTGAGTGCTATCATGACCAGAGTTTTGTTGCGAACTTTGTTTAATCATGTTAACCAATGTATCTAATCTGGTAGGATGCGCTATTTGCAGTACCATGTGTGCTTCTTCCAAAATTAAAAGACCATTGTGCGCATCACTAGACGATAGATTGTGCGCCGATACCACGTGCCGCTTCCAAGCCGCGTGTGTGGGTAGAACCTGATAATTATAAAAAGATAATATTATCCGTGATACGTGCAAATGTTAGCAATTCAATTCATTTACTTTATCCGTCATACGTGCAAATGTTAGCAATTCAATTCATTTACTTTATCCTGAAATAAGAATCAGGAAATTCCAAAAACTCACTTGTAAACACCACTTGCAATTGAGAGATGGAGAGATAGTATGAACAGCTTTTATATGCCTTCGACGGAAGCCCCAGCTCGTGTACGCTCTATCGCAGAAGGGACAGGGAAAAGGTTGATACGCCGGTCCACTTCTTTCCATCGATGAATCTGTATTATGAGACTCGGAAAAACCGAGCTGCGAAACTTCAGAACTGTGTGTCACGAGGAAATTCGACGACTCTGGTTTATCTAGCATTTGTTCGGTACGAAAATGATTCGACGAGTGAAGCGGTGGGTCCTCCAATATTTTTGAGATATTCCACAACGAATTCTGTTCAACCGCGAGTAAATCTCTCCCGTGTGTTTGCGCGTCTGGAGAGGTATGGCGAGCTTCAGCTATCACTGTCACTATCGGCTTCGACGATCCTGTAAAGAATTTCAATTTATCATTTCAACGTCCTCTTTTATTAATTTATCATTTCAATTGTTCTCCCTAGAAGGAATTTTACACGTAAACTAAATATTGATCCATATAATCGGTGATAAATTTAGCAATCAATTTTCTTAAATTTTTAACATTTTTTTTACTTACGTAATACAAAGATAAAAAAATATACCGTAATACATGTCTCATTTTTCAATAATACAAATATCACATATTTGAATTAACAATGTATTGTTTCACTCTGTGACTTAAACGACATCCATAATATAAAATGATACATATAAAAAATATTTGCATGTCTCTGCAAGAGATCTGAGAAAATTATTGCTCTAATATTATAAAATTAATTTTTACGCAGATACGCGATAAACAAAGGAACATGATAGGTATCGCGAAATAAAGCGACAATTAAAAATGAAAAATAGGTTTATTTGCAAACAGTCGTTTCTCTTGTCTACAATAATATCAATTTAAATGATAGCCGGCTCGAAGCTGTCAGTACGTTTCAATGATCAATGTATCGCACAACCAATAAAAACATGACTTTACAAGTAAACAGAGATCAAAGAACACTTTCGCGCGAGTTTCGAGAAAGGGACGCACGGTAAAAATCATACGTTGATTTGCAACGCATATCCTAATAGTTTGTGGCGTACCCTGAACACCACCTTCTGCTGCGATTTAAATACTCTAGAAGCATGTCTTAAAATCACTATTCCTGTCATACGAGCTACGGTTTCTCTTTCTTTTAAGTTTACATAGAACTGCCGTGATCGTTGCGTGCTGCGTATTTACACACGCGCGTGATCGCCACGACCAACACATATCCTCGTGTAAATACATATATTTACATACATACCATATATATACCTCTACGTGAGTACGTGTACGCGTATGCACGCGCATCCCGTCCGTATTGATAATGTGTGAGCGAGTACGTGATGTGTATATTCGAGTGCGAGAGAGAAAAAAGAGAGACTTGCGTGTCTCCCCGATACGCCAACTCTTTAATATCATGTTTTATCATCAAAGTAAGTTCTCGCATGAATATACCGTAAATAAACAATAAGGAGGAATGTTACGTTATTCAAGATGCCATATGAAAAATAAAGATGCGCAGACAGCTGGACAATTGACCTCGCTCGTGAGCGCGTCCGCGACAAGAGAAAAGATTCTTCAACCCCTTAAAGTACACACCTGCGACATATGCAAGGATTTCCTAATAGATTTCTGCATGCCTATTATTGCCGTCACTCTCTCTCTCTGTTATAGTAAAAATATTTCATCATAAAAATGAGAAAAGATACTATAACATTTTTACATCCTAATTTCAAGCAAAAGGTGTTTTATGATTTTTCCCAAAAAAGTGAAAAAAGAAATGCGTACATTAAGGGGTTGTACATACGAAGTGCGAGCGTGAAGAAGAACGAGAGGAGAGATCAAACGAAGTGCCTCAAAGTTTTCTTTGATAAGATAAAAATTTTCAGCTTTAATAAGATGAACATTTCCATCTTTTGAAAAGATAAAAATTTTCACCTTTTATAAAATTAAAATGGAACTACGAAAAGGGCTTAGAATTATTCGATCGTTTGCCACCTGTCACGCTGAGTGGCAAACCTAAAGCGTATAAATAATTCTCGACCGCGTTTACAATGATCTACAATGACAATCTCTTCCTAAACACCCTGTCACCCCGAAAATCTACAATCTAGAATCATCACCGTGCATCGGAGAACGCTCGCTTCGATCCTATTGCATGTTAATTCTGCAATTTTTAATCACGGATGCCTGACCGTCCGTCTCTTCTTCCTCCGTAATGGCTACATACGCGCGAATCTTATTGATTACTTACACCAATTTTTTACAACGCCCTAAATGTAAAGCGCAAAAGCTCATATCGAAGAGAAGCAAGCGACGGACGAGTCCCGCGAGCAAAAACGGGGCGACGGGTTTAAAAAAAGAAAAACGATCCTATTCCAGCCAGTGGAAACGTTTCCGTTTGACCCCTGACCTAAAACGCCCTAGTCATTGGGTGTAGACCGAACGCCTCTGAAACAGATACCTTTTCAAGCCCCTATTGCTAGTATCAATTTTGGTTACGCAATTCTTCCACGCTTCCTCCCATTCGATGCTATTCGGCGCTATGCCGCTGAAGTGCAACAGGACCTCCCGGATTAAGTGTATTTTGTTACTGTCAAATTGCTGCTTGCCCATCTTGCCGTTGACATTGCAGAGAATCCTCTCTTCCGGCGTGAAAAGGATTTTCATGAGATCGCAGGCTAAATGATCCATCGGTCGAGACGACGCCCAGGTCGAAATTATGTCCGGGCTCGGCAGGAGATCGGCATAAGGTAGGTGCTGATACGAGTAAAGCAGCGGTTTGACGTCCGAGAATCCACTTAGCCCGGACAAGCCAGATAAACCGGAAATGTCTTCAGCAGGACTGTTCCCAGACCCTGCCACACACATCAGCACAGCGCGCTTTAGACACGAGATGCCCGACACACGTGAATTACGCGCACAATAAAGAAAATGCGAGCGAGTTAATAAAGCCTACAATATGAAGGACCGATCACGCATCTTCCATTTCACGTATGCATCGCTCACGCATGCACGCACATACGCTTGTGCACTGCCGATCGAGGCGTAACGCCGAGGACGGCTTGATTTCTTACAAAACTCCCCGAATTGCGAGAATAAAAATCGCAAAAGATTACTGCCGGTTTTACGTGAATCGTTATAAATCAATTGTTTTTTTAGAACAGGCGACAACGATATACTTCCATATTCACGAAATATTTTTATTTTAATGCAATGAGCCGCAAAAATGTTTATAATTTGCGCTAATTACGTCGCTCTCATTGTCTTTTTGATAGAGTTCTCTTTACTCGTGCACGCAATCTTTTTTTCTTTACCCCTCTTACGGTACTTTTGCAGCACAGCAAATAAAGGAAATGTGGCGCGCAAAAACGAGCAAAACAGAATATGCAATGAAAGCGAACAGAAGATTCGAAAAAGCTACGATTTGCGGTATCAAAGAAAAAGCTTTGATACTACAGTAGCTACCGGACATATGCAAAGATAGTGAATCAGTGTACATAATTGTATACAGCATTTGTGCAGGTGATAATGAAACGATAGATCAGAAGCAACATGTGTTAAATAATAACGTCGGATTCGGATTCCGAGAAGCAAAATATGATAGTCGCAATTAAATTAAAATTTATTATTTTAATCAAATTTGGCATATAGATTAATAACACTAATGCTTTCCTCCTATTCTTATTAAATTTAATGTAATAGTTAACTGTCAAGAAAAATAATAATATACATAATAACTGCATTAACGACTTATAAATTCGGTAGATGATTGAGAACAAATCACGCACTTTCTCAGTTGCAGGATGTTTGATAAATTTCAGCAAAAATTTCATTAAAAAAATTTAGTACAAAATATTGAAACGTAAGTTTCTACTGCAAAAGTAAAAATAAAAAAATATGTGACAAATAATAATCTTTTAAAAAAAATCATCTTTATATATTTCTTGAAAACTGTAGCTAAGAAAACACATGATATTTTTTAAATATTTTGTGTATATACTTGAATGTACAAAATATAACATCTTTAGGTGATTAATTTAATAAATTTCTCTTTACTATAAAATTGAGACATCAGCAATAATGAAGATGCAAAGAAAAATCAATGTTGCATTTAGCAAAATCCATAATGCTTGAAAAAAATGTAATGTGTGTAAAATTTATCTATTTATATATCTGCCAAATAATGAGTACAAAATTGCACAATTCTAAATACTAGAGAAAGTCAAAAAAATAAAGGAACATTTTCAATTAAAATGTTTCTTTACTTTTTTATTTTTCTTCATAGAAAAAAAAAGTTCGATTTGAACAACATAAATATGACACTAACCTTGATTTTCATCCGTTTGTCCTGTGTCTAGCCTTTCTGCTGTTTCCTTGTCCAATGGAGATTGTGAAGATTTCTGAAGATCCTCTACTGTCATTTCCAATGGTTCTATCTGAAATGCGTTTGAAATAAATTCCATATTTCACACCATTAAGACACGATTATTTCATCATTGTTACAATTATTTTCTAAACTAACTTTCATCTCCAAACGATGATATACTGGATTAGGTAATGACTCAGGCAACATGTATTCTCCATCTTTCCCACTTTGATCACTAACGGCCGATTCATTTGTATTTTCCGATTGTGATATTCTAGGTGTCAGTGCTTTCTCCAAAATAGAATTATTCTGCTGTTTGCTAACTTTTTGTTTCTTCTTAGATGTTTCCTCTTTGATGAGTGGTACATCTTCCCCATCAGTCTGTTCTAATTCAGCCAGCCGTTTATAAGACTCTTTTCCAAAGATATCTCCACCAGACAGGCCTCGAATTTGTAATGTTTCTGCTGCTTTTAAAAGCGCTGGTAAATTCTTTTGCTCAATATTTACCTCTCCTTTATATATAAATATAAGTAGTGCCTCCAATTCACTAAAGTGTACATCCTGCAGTATTATAACCGGATGTTGACATGGGTTTGTCTAAAGAAATAAAATAAAACTATCAGAATATAATTTTATTTTACATTAATGTTCAATTTATTAATCTATATTGCTTATCAAATCATAATATAGATATTTTAATCAATAAAGCATTTCTTTCTCCTTGTTTTTAATTTATTGCTATAAATTAATTGAAGCTTATCATAAGCAATTTTTTAAGATAAATATACTAATTCAAAAGCAAACATTATTTATAATAATAAATGAAAATTTACGACAAAATAAAATAGATCACAACAGATATTCATGAAATTTATAATATTATATATAAAATATCACAATTAATAATTTTAAATTAGATAGATCATAGTTAATAATCATTTTTCTTTACTTTAACATAATTGATGGATTTTTATTCAAAATAATACACATAAATTATTTTATATTATTATTTTCATATAAAGAAATTAAACAAATAATATTATACTTATAAATACTACAAAAATTAACATTTGTATTGATTATATTGAGAACAATGTATCACTTCATTTAGAAAAAAAAAAATAAATACATTGCTATTTGCCAAGAAAAATCGAGATAAACACGGAAATCTTTAAAAGTCCGCGAAAGTGCTTGAAATTAAAAATTTGGAAGAACCATCAGCCGTTAACGGTGTCGTAATCGCAGAGTTTGTTTCAAAAATGATCGAAATAGCAAAACAATCATCTCTAACCTCAACACGAGGGCACTTTGAAATTACGTGACAGCTGTCAAACATGTTGTTATCAAACGCACGAGTCGAGGCATAACAACATGCGTGCAAAGATGAAGTGAAATCAGGCACAGGACAAGCAACGAGTTTTTCAAAGTGACGCGAGTTTCGCGAGTTCGATGCCGAACAATCTTGACTTACCTGGAAGACCTTCTTAAAGAAGGGACTGCTGGCCGAGAGTATCACCTTATGAGCCGTGAGACACTGTCCGTCACTGGCGAGAGTCACGTCCACTAGACCTTCTTCCTCCCACAGGCTCTCGAAGCTGGTTGCAATGTTGCTGAGAAAACTGTTCCACTTTAGGCATATTTGACTTGACATGTCGCGTTGATTTGGACGGCACACTCGGTAGTGTCGGGACGCTATCGCACCGTGGTGTCCGCGCGTACGCGAGCCTTCTCACGCGACAACGGTGACAGCGAACACGACAATGAGACAGCTGCCGTGCCAGGCACGCACAAACATCGTCGGAGTCGGGAGCGCACCACGGCTGAACAGCATGGCTGCCAACGGTATTGGTTCACGTCTACCCGCCAATTTCGAACAACGCGGTACTGAAGCCAATATCCTGGCACAAGCAAATATTAAAGAATTACATGTATATTGCATTAATTTATAATACGATTTATACAACATATACATTCCGACTTTACAATTGCAGAAAAACCAAAGAAATGGAATAAAAGATACAATTAACACAAATATCAAGACTAAATAAAAGGCTAATAAGATTTTCGTATTTTAGTTTATTTTTAATTTTTAGAATTAATAAATTCTTTTGATAAAGGTAGTCATCTCAAATTTTTGAAATATTAAATTATTTTCAATTTATGAATAAATATAGTCATTTGTTGCGTGTTCATTTTGTCTTCTTTGCGAAATGTTATTTCATAAGAAAGAAACACGGGCATTGGATCGAAAACGTCGTTTCACGGCAATATAGACTTACATTAAGGCGAAGCTTATTGTGAGTGTACGTTTGTTCATGCTACGTGCGTGCTCGCGTGAGTACACTCAACTGTACGACCGACAATTCCCGTGCGTGGCTGCGTGCGTGCGTGCGTGCTCGCTCGCGTGTATGCATGCTTGCGTGCGTTCGTGCCCATAACAGCTCCATAATCGTTAAGGTTCCATCAGGTTTACCCTGCTTCGTGTCCCAGTCGTGAATACACGAAAACAGAACGAAAGCAGCACTTCGACGTCTCCTTTGTTGATTAAAAAATAACCTCTTCTGTAATAGATTTCATGAAATCCGCTGAAAATGGCCAAAATTGTTCTATTCCAAATAAAAATTGCAAGTTTTCAGTGAGTAAATGATAAATAACAAACGAGAGATAACCAACGTATGAGCGAATTGTTGGCCCTGAAAAGGGCCGTTTGTATCAGATGGTAATTAAGCTTTTTTCTCAGTTTTCTTTGGCAGCAAGACTGCTTGGATGTTCGGCAGTACGCCGCCTTGGGCAATGGTTACGCCAGACAATAATTTGTTCAGTTCCTCGTCGTTACGGATGGCCAGCTGCAAATGCCTAGGAATAATCCTAGTTTTCTTGTTATCACGCGCAGCATTTCCTGCCAACTCCAATACTTCCGCAGCGAGATATTCCATAACGGCAGCCAGATAAACTGGAGCACCGGCTCCTACGCGTTCAGCATAATTTCCTTTTCGCAGAAGTCTGTGAATACGGCCAACCGGAAATTGGAGTCCGGCACGACTGGATCGGGACTTCGCCTTTCCCTTAGTTTTTCCACCTTTTCCACGACCAGACATATTCGCAGTTAGCAAACGACAATAACTCTCAAACACACGTGAAGGGTACGATAGCCCAACTCGCTCTGAATACGGCGCTCCCTCCTGCGCCGTATTTATACCATTCCGCAACACTTCGTGCGACCAATGGCGTGCTAGCGTGCAACGATTAGCTTTGGCACGTCACGCGATTGGTGCACTGCTACTACCGCTTCACTACGTCTCGTAATTATGTGTTGTTGCTTATACGGTCTTAGCATACGGCAAAATCTAACATTTATAAAATAACATTTATAAAATACAGAGAATATAAGGTGAATGTCTAAGAATTATTTGTAAAGCATTATTAAATCGATTATTTAATTGAAAAAAGTACAAATACAATGAGAATTATAAAACTCAACGCACGACCAACTTTGGCTTCACGTGATTGGTGCACTCCTACTACTATTTTACTGCATCTGGCGATATACGTTTTTTTTTTGCTTATACAATTCAGCAGCGACAAAATCTTATATTTATAATGAAATATAGAGAATGTAAAAAATAAACTTCTAAAAATTATTTTTCACCATTATGATTGCAGCATTAGAAATCAATTATCTAATTACAAGAAAATACAAACACAATACAAAGATTGTAAAAACCAAGCACACAACGATCGATTTTAACGCTTCACACGGTTGGTGTGCGATTATTATCGTTTTATTGCTGTGCTTCAAATCTAATATTGAGTAAATAATTTGTTTCAAAATAAAATGCTTATCAAAACTATTAAAATTTATTTGTATGCCTTGCATTATATCGTGCATCCTTTTGAAATAGCAAATATAACATGTATTTATTCATTAATGCACAAAATTGTTACATATACATATGGCAAGGTAGATATAGGCTTTACACATAAGTGGTCAAAATCAGTAGCGTCCTGTCGCAACAGTACAGTGGCATAGCAGTGAAACAGCTCGTAAAGGATCTTTTAGCAAAATTAATAGCATTTTTGCTTGAAAAAATTTAGATCAATCAGGGAGCGATAATGATCATTACTGATATGAGATAAAACCAAAATTGGATCTGTCGTGGATTGCTAATGATATAATAAAAACCTGAACTGTGTTCAACCAAAATTTTATAACCTGAAAAAGAGGAACAAATATAAAATTCACTCGTCTTTCGGTAAGTTTTTAATAAATAATAAAAGAAAAATATTCTAGGTAGATGTGAGTTTATGGTAAATTGCGTTTAATCGCTCTCAGATTGATTTGTTTAGTTAAAAACGCTAGAACTAGTAATGGGATTTCAAGATTTCTATTTGCAAAACAAGTTTTTAAACAAGCCAAGAATGACCGAAAATAAAAAATCAAAACATCTTGCAAGATCTTGTTTCAACTGAAAATGTTGTGTGTATATGTATGTATATGTATATGTATGTGTATATTATTCAAAATATCCAACATATTCAAGCATTCAAGACTTTCAATAACAGTTTTGTAAAATACGTTGAGACTTTTTGGCTTTCAATCTTTAACTTAAGATGATTTGAGATAGTTTGAATTCCATCATTAGTTATAATACGAAAAATAGTACTATATACCGCAGGCTTAAGACGTATAATTTAAATATTATACAAAACTGAGTGCAAAGATATTAATTTTTCTTAAAATTATTTTATTCATATAATTTATATTTTTCATATAATTTATATGATTAATTTTATGTAAATTTTATTTAGGTTCATGTTATATCATTTTTAAACATTGTGGATAACAGAATGACATCTAACAGTAATAATCATATTGTTTGGATTGATATGGAGGTAAAGTAAATATCTCAGTTGATCAGACATTTATGAATTAATCATTACTAAAAATATAATTTTTTCTACCAAAATAATAATCTCATATTTTTGTATATATAATAAAGATTAAAATTTACTTGACAGAAATAAAACCAAAATTATAATTGATAATTTGTCAAATATTTGCAAATAATGTCATATGCATGATATAATATAGACTTTTTAGATTTCATATTTATAAATATTAAATAATATAATAACTGTTTTGTTAATATGTGGTTGGACATTGGTTGAGAAAAACATAAGAAACATTTGATTTTGATGTAGAAATACTTATATTTTCAATAGTAATTAACTTTTAAATGTTTGGCCACTGTGATTTTAAAATGTAAATTAATTCTGATATATTTTTACAGATGACTGGGCTTGATATAGAGAAACATCATATATTAGAAATTGCTTGTGTTGTAACAGATATGACATTAAAGATTATTAGTGAAGAATTAAATATTATAATACATCAATCGGATACGATATTGAATAATATGGATTCAT